ATAAGTCTGCCCTTATCTCCCTTGCCCCTCACATATTCTACAGCTTATCCTTGCTTTGTTGTTTCTTTCTTTGTCAGTATCTCAAAGTGCCAAGTTATAGTAATGAGATTAAGTGAAAGAAAAAATAAAATCACAAGGAAAGAACTGGCAATGTTTTAGCATTTTTGGATAGGAAAAGTATACGAAGACTACAAGTACTGTCCCAATAGTTTCTGCATTCAAGCCATAAAGAAATAATTATTCTAGTAGGGTTTGGTCTTGTTTCTTAATATAGACTTCAAGGTAAAAATAGGAAATTAGAAAGCTATGTAATTTTTTAGCTAAGATGGTTGAATTTTATGCTATTAAACAGAAATATTCACAAATTAAATTATTTCAATTTCAAAATTAGTACATCCTCAAACTCTTCCTTACACCACTGTAAACTCTTCTTCTAAATTTAGCTCCACAGATCTCCTTTAAGAAATCCTCCTTTTAAACCAGAGCCAAAACCAATAAAAGCAAAGTGGATTATAATAAAGCAGGGATGTCATTCACATATGAATGTGTACATTCGTTGGCTTTGTGGTCACCCTGACAAATAAACTCTTGAACTTCCCAGTGCAGCTGCCTGGGAGCAGCATCACGTCTCTGCTGTACACAACAACTTCTGGAGATGCTTTTGGGCATTTCTATATAAAGCTTTAAACATTCTGGTACAGTCATTATACAAGTGAGTCAGCTGAGACTGAATCACTCTGATATGTGCAATGAACTGAATGGATCTATCTTTTGAGTTCGGGATATTCTTGCAATGTTCATTTTGCACGTATTTTGGAGCTGTTGGTGAGGTTGTAATCTTCAGTACTAAGAAGCCAAAATAAACAAGTTTTATAACCTCTTTGACTTTTTTTTTTCTCCTCTCTCCTTGCCAGGAATCTTAAGTCCTTGTCAGGACTTCAACAACAACAAAAAAATTGTTCTGTTTGTGTGTGGGTGATTAACATAATGCCAGCCTGTGGGAGGGCTTTATGTACATTTATGTGCACAAGCTTCTTTCCTCTGTGAATCTAGAAACACAGAGCTGTTCTGACTTGAGGTGGCTTCTCCTGGACTTGTAATCATATTCCCTCTCCACCTATAGGACTTTGAATTACTGGCATGGCACCACCTAAATTAGCTTAATACTAACAAAGAATTTCTCCAATGGAGGCCCCCCTTGTTTCACTTTTAGGGGCCAATCCACAATCCCCCTGTGCCTCTTTCCAGTCATAAAAAGGAAAAATAGCATGGATCCATGCTCAGCTTTCACAAATAACATTACATAAATCTGATAGAAAGACAACTGCTCACACAGTGTATAATTATTCTTTCAGCAGCCCTCCAGATTTGTTTCTTCTCATACATTTTATTCTCATTTTGTCGTACATTCCTCATCACGGTTATTAGGCTTTAAGATACCCTTGACAAATATATAAAGGGCAATACTCTTCACTGGCATCAAATTATGTTTGGATTTTTTGAGTTAGTAGGTAATGTACCAGTAAAAGAATAATTAATTCCTGAAGGACTGAGCACAAAGGCAAGCATACGTTTGTCTGAGAAAGTGAAAAGTTTGACTAAACAGGAAGTTTATGAATTATCATGCTGTCATCCAACTGGATCAGTAGCTTTTTTCACGTTGTTTACTAAATGCCATGCAAATTAAGACAGCAATGGATCACACGGTTCCAGAATTAACTGATGACTTTTGGAGAATCTTTTCCCCATTAATTCAGACTTTTGATAATGAGGAGGCACAATCACCATGATGCAAAATGCCTTAGATTTACAGATTCTCTTGCCTCTTTATAGCCTGTGTCATATAAAGACATTTCCTGTGACTGGATGTGGAGTAACATCTCCTCCAAGCGGACTGCCTAAAAGTCTTGCAGAATAGAGGAATGTCCTGTAAAATTTACCTGAGGTGATTCTTAAGTATCAAGTAATAATTTTAGAAATCTGTCAATCAAGTTTATTTTGTCAGCTATTGGAAATCCAGTTCAAAGATATTACTAAATAGTATGCACTACCCTATGAGCTGGGGCAAACTCCTGTTTCTTTAAGGCATGATCCAATAACATAAGACAGAGAGAAATGCTGCTCCCAACAACAAAAAAAAATAGTTTTGAAGGTTAAGAATATATGAATACTTTCTCAGTTTAACGTCCTTATATATTCCTTCATGTCAAAAATCTTATTGAAATAGGAAGCAGAAGTGTCAAAGTGATACTTTTTGCTCAGCCAACAACAGATACTACTGAAAATCTGCCCCCTCTCCAAAATGGCTCTTATGCCATTTCTACCTTGCTGTGTTGGTGTTATGAAAATCTAGATAAGGTTCAGTCCATTATTTCAGGATAGGATAATTCTTCCTTCACAGCAGTCACTATAAGTTTGCAAACATTATTTGTTTTAAGGGTCCAAGAAAGGAGATGAAGGGACCTAAGGAGAGCATCTTCTCCATTTCCCTCTGCCATGGGAATCAAGCACTTTTAATGAAAGCCAGGATGAAGGAAATCATAGAACTTAAATAGCTACAACAGAGTCACTGCCTCCTGTGCATTTACAAAGTGTCTCCACTAAATGCCCTTGCCACTAATTCAGGGGATTCATTTTCCCCATTGAACTTGGAAAATAACTCTTCATCACAGTCATATTGATTTCTTTTTCAAAAGCAAAACCAAACAAACTGGTACCTTCAGCTTCTTTGCAGAACATATCTTTAAATTTTCTGTCCTTGTGTTTTGATCTCTATTTGTAGACATTTTTCAGTGTGACCCTCCTGGTAGAAACAGCACTCTAGTTGTCATCCATTGTTGGATAAAACACCAATTGTTTCAACCTTGTCCTCATCATTCATCAATAGGATCACTAAATTCCTTCATTTTCGCCTTTCATCTGGTGTATTTCTAAACACTTTTGTTTTGTTACATTTCTCACAACTTGCTAGTTTCATTTTGCACCTGGTTTTATGCCCAGTCTCCCGTTTCTTCCACACCGATCTACTCTATGATTTATGTTTACAGCAGCCTCTTGTTTTGACATTTTCATGGTGTTTGATTTCTCAGATTGTTAGATAATCAACTTCATTAGTTTATTACATGTGTCCTGTCTTTTCCTCAGCATTGGGGTAGGGCATAATTTTCCTTTCAATACAAGCTTTTCAGGAGCAGACTTTCCACGCTCATTCGTCCCTTTGCTTATCTTCCCAAGAGACCATAACTACCTTCTCAGTCATTTTGCTGGGAAAAGTGAGTGCTTTTGTTTTAGCAATTTGCTAAAGTTGCTCACGTTTTAGCAATTGATCCCCTCCACCCATATTTCCTTCCTTGACTCTCTCTTAAAGCAGCGTCTCTTTGTAACTGTGGCATCAAATTACAGTCATTCCCATGTGTGTTAGAGTTGAGGCTTAGAAGAGAGTTCTCCTGTTTCAGATCTTCCTCTTGGTGCTGGGCACACAAATGATAAAAATCAATGCTTCATAGTGAAGGAAAATGAGGCCCTAAACTTCGGGTCGTAGGTAAGACAATGCCTTAAAAACATGAATATGACACATATATAATCACAACAGTGACACAGTTTAGTTATGGCCACATAACAAGCAAGAAGAAAACAATTCATTAAGGACAGAAAAAACCAGCACAGCGCACCAAGAACTTTATCCTTCCAGTATGTGAGCCCTCAGAAAGCTGGCAAACTTCTAGTGCTTGACACAAAACGCTCTTTTATAAAGACCTGATAATACGTGTCATTCTGTTTCTTCTCAGGAAATGTTCTTGCAACCACTCAGACCCATGAGCACTGGGCTATTTTCCATGGTCTATCCCTTTTTTTTCTGGAGGAAAGGGATTACTAGAACACTTGTTCTCTTTTTCACCGAAAGAACAATATTTGTTTTACATTAAAAGCAGTACTAAAGCTTAAAAAATGTAATTTCAGGTTTGATGCCAGTTTATTCATGGAGGCCACAATAGTAAAATTCCAACGCCCTATGGAGGAAGAAGTTGGGTGATCTGATGCTATCACAGTCTTTAGACAATGGACTTGCAAATTAGCTCAGCTTCTTCTTGCAAGTTAGGTCCAGAAAGAAGAGATTTCGTGACACTGTCTTCACTTTCCTGGCTGGCCTAGCTGTACCTCATCATGTGAACAGTTCCAGTGTGGTAAATGAATATTATTTCCTCTCCCTTTGTGCAATGAAAGCTTTCAAGAGACCACATAGGAAACTTCTGCCATGTCATTTACCATGAGAGATTCGTAGCTACCCAGAAGATGATAATCTGTGAAACCTTGCACACGCATCTTCCCTATTTAACTGTTATCTGATGAGTTGCTGAATGCAAGAGTAAAATTAACCTTTATATTTTGCACATAAAGAAATGAAGCATTACTAGAAACATCTGAAAAGCTATAACAGACAAAAACCCAACAGGATGAGTGGGCAGCAAGGGGAGAGAGAAATTTCAGCTTATTTACTCTAGTTCTGGTGAGATAACAACACCCTAATTTACACCTTAAACTGTAAAAGACCAACAAGGGTGATGTAAAGCAATGCCTCTGTTATCAAGCCAGACTGCATCAACAGAAATTCCAGTGCTGAGGTACCTATCTTGTTTTAAATGGTAGCACCCAAAATAACCACTCTTAAAAGGTCATGTTTATTTAAAAATAGCTTGCTTGCATTTTACATTAAAGTTAATTTACTAACTTTAAAAAAATTAAATGCAAATCTATACAAATAATTTAAGCATCCTGTCAAAGTTCACATACTGCTAGAGCAATGAAAATATTCAAGGTCATACGAAATCTTTCTTAACCATGAACCATCCTGGGGATTATTCTATTAAAGATATATAGTATGCATTGAACTAAAACGTTTGAACCCTCTCTTTAGCAATATCTACCCTTCTCAGAAATAAAACCTAAAATTTCCTATTTATAATGTGCTTTCCAGGCCATAACAAAGAAGCATACTGTACCTCTGATGCTGGTGGCTGTTGCCGAGGTGGTTGTGCTGGCTGTTAAGGCTACAGTGGTTGTGACTGTTGCAGTGGTAAGGGAGGGGATGACAGTAGTGGGAAGCAAAGTGTTGAAAACATCTGGTGAGTGGAAAAAAAAAATATAAAATAAAATCATATCATGCAAACAAAGGAGAACCATAACAGTGGTTTAATTTGTAAATACAAGAATGTTGAAAATGACTAAATTAAAACATGATTAACATAAATTATTACAGGTACAACAGAGTACCTTTAAATTCTTGACATTTATCACTCTCAATTTTTTTAGTCAATCTTTGAGCATATGGAATTTAAAACTCTGTTAAAATGACCAAGCTTCCACAGATCTAGAGAGTGACGGTTTAAGTGACAAGAATCCATTTCTGCACTGAGCCATTTTAAATGCCTCATAGAGTAGAAACCATACACAGATGAAACATGCTGTGTCAGAGTGGGAGATGAAAAAAAACACACCATCATGCTAAAATAAACACACACACACACATGTTAACGAGAAATGGCTGTATGTTAAAACACCCACTTTCAGACAGACTCAATGGAGGGAAAAAGGGGAGAAAATGCTACTAACTATAAGAGCTGCTTTTTCCGGATTGCTTTTCTTCTTCCCACACATTTGATTAAGACACAGTTGTCTGCTAAGATCCAGAGCAGAGCAGATTTCAAAATCTTTACCCTAATTAGCAGGCACATTTATCTTTCAGTCATCCATTTATTGTTAGTACACACATCAGGATTTCTCTAAAACAGCTTCGAACTGAAAATCAGAAATTCTAATAATATTGCTATTAACAAACCCGTGCTTGTAAGTCAGAAAAAATGCATAGCCCTGATGATGACAGCATCCTGCAAAACCCTTCAGCTTTTGATCAAGTGCAGGTGTGCCAGGCTTGAGGGCACCACTGCTTCACTGCAGAGCAACCAGCAATGTCTGTAGCAAAATGCTCCAGCACAGAGCAGAACATAACCAGATGTACAGAGAGAAAATCCTTTGATTACACTGCCAAAAGCAATAAAGACCAATAGGACTTTGCTTATAAGGTGATTGCAGGTTTTAAAGAACAAACAAACAAAAGCCCTGAAGAGAACTAGAGAAAAGCACTTCCATGAAGACATAAAAAGCATCTGACATTTTTCAGATTATTTATATCGCAGGTTTAAAAGGAAAGGACTCGTTTCTTGGCAGTTGATGGTGAGTAACCCATTCCATACTGATTTCAGTGAAAATATTTCTGAAGGGTGCTATTCAATGCAATAAAAGAGCCAAAATCTGCCCCACAATCTGTCTTCCCTTTGCTGTGGAACGAAATGCAATTGGTCTCTGAGTACCATCAATTCTGACTGAAATCAATGGAAGCTGAAGCAGCTCAGAGCTTTTCAGTACTGGGCCCTACTGAACACACTGCAGACACAGGGTCTGTGTTCAGCATTGCATAATTACTCTCTTAAGACCTCAAAGTAGCATACTTAACTTATTTTCATACTGGACAACAGATTATTTTGCAACTTTAAAAGTCTCCTTGTTAGTTAACATCTGTAAGTCACCTAAAATTTTCTGTATCCCTCTAGTTTTGATAAAAACCAGCACTATCCCCTCCGGAATCTATACTTGTGGGATTTTCCCCTTCTGAAGTCTTCAGACAACAGTGCAAGATCCCTCTTTCATCTGTTGTATACTGATATTTAATCTATTTCTCAGTACAAAATATTCTCAAGCCAGAAAAATTAGAACAGACTTTAAAAAAAACCCTCGATGTAGCCATATTAATCACCAGGAAAAATGATAATATTACCTGGAGTGTGAGTACCACAATAATTAAACAGAACTGAGTATAACAAGCATTAGAAATAAATTAACACGTTAAAAAGATACATGTCACATGTACTGATCTATGCAATTTCTTCTCATAAAGGGAAACTCCTTCCCTGATAAGTATCTGCTAAAAATGAAATCAAACAGGAAAAACCCCACCTACTTCATAAGAAAAGCAAAACCTTGTTTACTAAGAAAGCTTTACAAATCATTCCTGTACGTAAAACCTAATTAGTGTGACTTAGGGTTCCATTAATTATCTTTCTTGAATATGCCATTTACTTAAGATTCTGCAATGGCAAGTTGGGGTTTTATGGCAGTGCTATCTTTTCTGCAAACACACTGTCTACCTATTTTACCAAAGAACAGCTTACATGAGTGACTGGTAAACTTAGAAGTCGATTGCTTTCTGGTTTCTCTTCTGATTGAAGCATTTCCAACAAGATTTCTCAGTTTAAATGAAAGGCTATATACGAAAAATTCCAGTTAATAGGAACTAGGATATATCAGCGTTTTAATACAGATGTGATAAATCCATCTTCTCTCGTCAGATCAAGAATAATGAAAACTTTTGCAGAAATGAAGTTTCCTGATCAAAGTCATAAACTCTGACGCCAAACATCAAAATGGCAGCTCGTCAGAAGCCTCAAAGAAAAACATACGTTCACAAAAGAAACGTAAATACAAGGAATAACATTCGCTTTGTTTCTTCCTTTGCAGAGTAAGGTGAAATTCACCCTGCAAATGGCTACAGTTGGTCTGCTTTGCTCACAGATTTGCTCCTAAAGACCACATACAAGAGAGGAACAAGGAATCAGCAGCCTGAGGAGCACTACCCTGCCCAAGCAATTAAATCTGGGTCTGCTCTGGACTCCAGAAATGTCTGGTTCATACCTGCCTAAGTTTGAGGCTCTGCCCCGGGGGAATTGCTTCATTAACACCATGAGAGTCTGCAACAGGAATGTGTAAAGCACACAGATAACACATTTTGGAACTCCTGGACCATATCTTGCCCTTAAATCCTGTTTTGGACAGCCCAAATCCAGGCACAGCATTCAGAAAAGCAGCTGAGCCTCACTTACGTGGATGGGGCCTCTCAGTCCTATTGAGTCTGACAGAAAGGGTCCTGTCAGTTCTTCCAAGACTTCTGGATTCTCATGAAAACTTTGTCTTTCCCTGGAAAACGCTTTTGCATGAGGGAATGTAGAATATGCACTTCAAAAAAAAAACCCCAGAAGTAATGTACAGTGGTCCTCAGTCTCCCCTCTCAGTACTGCAGGTTCGAAAGTTCCCAAAATCAGACAGACTTCAGGTAAAAAATGATACTTATCAGCACAGGCTTCTGTTTAAGGCACCTGGATCACTGTGTTTCATAGAGGGTGTGCTGCTTCATTTTTATGCCAGAAAAGGGAATGACAATTTGACCTGCTTCTAGTCCTGCAGGATTTTTTTTTTTTTATTTTTTTAAATGCAGGGTACATCTTTCTTACATCACTAGTGAGGCACACAATATGTTATCCAGAGCTCCCTGCTGGCAGCTGCTCAAAAAGATGCTATCAAAGGGACTATGAAGATTTGTCCTCTTGAGCTTTCTGTCAAGAAGGATCTATAAAGAATGGATTTGCAGATTTCTGCCCAAGAAACCGGTGTTAGAGTGAAACTTAATTCCATTTCCTTGTCTTGCAATTTCTGAATCTAATTGTACACAATGTTCAGCTGTAAGCAAATCTTTGTTTATGCCTCTCATGCCACTAAACACCAAGGATCATTATGACCAAGAGACCTCATAGAGTGGAACTTTTTAATTCAAGTAGCCATACCCAAATCACTGCACAAGACTGTTATTTCAGTAATACTATAGTATTAATCCCTAGCCTCCTGTGAAGCAGAAAATAGCTATATTTTGCAGATGGGGAACCAAAGAAGATAGAAAAGCCATGCTCAGAGATCTAGAAGTCAAGCAGTAATTGTCACCATTAATTTTGAAATCTCACTTCTAAACTGGATGTCTGCTGACAGACATTCAGCCAGAAATCCAATAATGTATTTAAGTTGGTATTAATTTCAAAATCTTGCTAGCTCTGAAATACAAACAATTCAGGGAGAACTAATTGTTTCCATAAAAGTTGTTGGAAATAGAAAAGGGGTTGACCTTCACGCCAAGGGGAGTTACTGACTCCAGTCCCAACTCTTTTTCACTTATGTTCCCACAGCTTATACAGGTAGGACCTGAACTGGATTTTTGACAAAACATATGGGCTCCTGACCTCTCTCTAGTGGCACAAGGAAGTTTGATCCCAAGTGGATGGAGGAAAAAGGAGGAGCAAGCAATGCTTGGCTTGGTCTGGGGGCTGCTCCTTGGCAGAGCTGCTCAGGAGTGGCAGAGGAATGTTGCACAAGGTCAGCTTGAAACGGTGTCAAAGCTGTGCCTGATCAAAATTTCCTGTTTGCCTCCTCTCTCTTGAATTGATGCTGCATTCCTCTCACTAAGGCAGAAGACATTCATCCATTTAAGTGCAGGGAGCCTGGACAATTTACTCTCACTGCAGATTTGGCCTTAAGCATTTTTACTCTCCATCTCCAAAGAAATGAGAAATGGTTCTGTTTGGTTTAGCAGGCTTATGTGAAAGATAGATCTGACCTATTGAAAATATTTGACTTTTTTTTGGTAAAAACACAACTGATATTTTGACATGACTGAGCACAAATCAGACAACAATAGCTGAAGTTGATAAAAATGTAAAGGCTTTTGTTTCAAGCTTGACAAAGGCTGACAGAAAAATTAGAGGACAGAGTGATAATGATGGATGGCCCTTGCTGTATTTTGACTGAGAATGAAAGAAATTTTAAGTGGTAAACTGAACTGAGTGATGACCTACCTGGGAAACAATCTCACTGCTCTGTGCAAAATTTAATCAGTCTGTGGTATGTAGCACTAAATAATTTAGCAAGGTTTTAAATTCAAAGGGAGCTGCACTTACCCTTCCTCTAAGAAAACGGGATTGAACAAAAGGATCATTCAGCTTGAATATCGTGTGCCAGCAGCTCCTTAGCACTTTGACTGAATGATCATGAACGCTCATGGACAGGAGGTCAAGGGGTTCTTTTTACTAATTGATTCAGATTTATGAAACTCTGAAATGGCAATTATGTGCTTGACATTTTTGCTAGCAAATCAGGTGTCATTAAAAATATTCAAAGTCTTTTAACAAAAGCTCCATGTGGATCTGTATCACTAGTTATAGCATGAGAGACTTCTGGTGAATGA